TCACATGGTGTTTAGATCAAGATGTTTGTTGTTGAAGATACATGTATCTGAAATAGGTAAACTACTGAGGTTTTGACTAATGAGAACAATTGGAAATTGCCCATCTGGAAATATGCTTCAAGGGTACACTTGATAATGTCGAGAAATAAATGGTAAAATGTTAACTTGTGCATTTCTACATGACATACAAAAGATACATAAGGTATAAGATATAAGGTGACATGTTTACTTCTTGAAATAATTAAACAATGAGGTTTTCATACGAATTTTGAAACCATGGAAAAAAAGGTAGCATCAATGCCAAAACTGCATCTCCAAATAAAATAGATGGTGTGAATTAATACAACGTTACTTCTACATGTAAGGTTGCAGCCCTATATAGTATTTTGCTGTGTTTCTCTTGGGCTTAGTCACAACACTCACAAACGTGTTTAAGGGGCCCGTCAGGGTAAAAAATCTATTATATGCTTTAACGGGTATTACATGCTTTAACAGATAATCTTTGGGAAATCTTTCGTGCGTCTCTACCCTATCCCCTGCTTAAAAAATGCCAACCCCCCATTTTGCCTCTCTCAAACGCTCAGAACTTAACCCCCCATTTTGCCTCTCTCAAACGCTCAGAACTTACCAAAGCAACCATTCTCTCTTCACGGTAGCCCTACTCTCTCTCTTCTTGAGCCATAATAACTAATTTACATAGATTCTCCCTCCCTCTCTAAGCCCGGCCCCTCTCTCTTGACCCGTAATAATTGGTTTGCATAAAGTGCTCCCTCTCTATCTAACCTCGTCTCCTTTCTCTTGATCCCTAATAACTGGTTCCCTTCTTCTTTAATCAATTATTTTGGTGTGGATAAGTCCAACATCTTTAGTCTCCTCCAATGACTCAAAATTTTCTACTACAATTACCAAACTTTCTAGTTTACTTATCAATTTGGTATATAGATTTTGTGTTGTGCCATATAGATTTTGAATTTGGTATCATAAATTTATTGCTTATTTGAAGTTGTATAAAGACATTTGAAAGACTTATATAAAAAATAAATAAAAATAAGGCTTATCACAATAAAAATATGTTATTCCAGTCATATTATTCCAATGACTTATCATGTTGAAATCAAAGTCTAATCATGTTAGAAGACATGTGATTCCATGTAAGTGCCAAAGGTATGCAAAATAAGTAGGAAATGGTGTGATGATGACTTTAAAATGGTACAAGTTATTATTAAAAAAATATTTTTGGTATGGTGATGATATTCTTTTTGAAATGGTGTAATGATGACTTTAATTTCGCATTTCTGTGGAATTTTGTGACAAAAAAGAAAGAAATTATAGTTTATATGCAAGTGTAGGTAAAATGTTGGTAATGCATTTCCCAAATTTTTTCCAGACATAGGCAAACAGTAGCAATGTATTTCCCATGTTGTATCTAAATACTACCCAAACAGTAACAATCCATTTGCAGGTAATGTATTTCCAAGTATCCAAACGGCCCCTAAGGGAATAACAGAAGCCATGTGAAGCTCAATCTTCCCAAGCTTGAGTTTGGTAGTTCAAGCTCAAGCTCGCCCTCCACCTTTGTACTTGAATCCTGAACGTGGCTTAGATTGGATCGACACTTTGACACTCTGCGGATCCATGGATTAGAAATCTGAGAAAATACCCGCTTTTACCATTGGAAAAGTGTAGCCTGCGTCAGGGGATGCACTTCTACATGTGCTTCCCCTGACACTACTAGCATCAATCTTTTTTTTTATTATGGATGTGGTTTCTATAAGGTTGCAATCTTAAATAATTCATTTAAGCTGCCCCTCCAAATTTTATCATACCATATAATTTTGGTGTAAAACATTCTTAGGATTATCTTAAAAACCTATTTTCATCTCTAATTATAAAATTTTAGACTCCAAAAATGGTTGAAATTGAGTAGATTTATAAGCATATGAAAATCTTGAAAATGGATGGTCTAGATAATGTGTTGCAAGATGCACTATTTTTGGTACTCAAAATCTTTTTTTTTATATATTTATATATCTCGATGTCGAGATAATCAATTAGAAGGTTTTTCACCATTAAAACAATCGTTTCCCGATGGATTTTTGCAATGCATCTTTAATTTGCAACCTTATATAAATTATTATTATTATTATTGTTTTTGGATAATTCAAAGAGATCCCTAATCTAAAAATGAAACTCAATAGATCATGTTATGGCACCCATGGCCACCTATGTCTTAGTCCACCTACACTACTAGCATCCATGAATGTTAAAAAGGTGGTGGTCCCACCAAAACCTCTAAATCAATGGTCTAGCAAAATACATAAAAAAAATCATTAATTTTATTTTATTTTATTTATAATATTTATGTTTCTATGATATCAACCCATAAAATTTTTACTTCAAAATCCGTCTCTAGAATGGATTTAAGAAGGATGACTCGTATGCATATATGTGTCCGCCACTCATAGAAACCTTTTTCTTTACCATTTATGAGCATGAAAGCCATTGGCACGATTATAAATTAGAAGACACCTCAACGGGAATCTCAAAGCACACAAACAACGATTATAAATTAGAAGACACCTTAACGCGGATCTTAAAGCACACAAACAACGATTATAAATTAGAAGACACCTCAACGGTGATCTCAAGGGATACAAACAACGATTATAAATTAGAAGACACCTCAACATAAAAACAACAATTGTTAAAGGTCCTTTCTCTAGAGCTCCGTCCTTTTCGAGATGATTATTCTTAAAAGAATTTTTTTTTTTTGAGTTTTCTAGTATTTAGATCTCACCCTCTATCCAAAACAGTTTCAATTTAATCTTGAACTATGACTTTTTTAAGTGCATATAAGGTGCAATTAGGAAAAAATTTTTACTAAGGTCAATCCATAGATTGAATGGTTTATATTACCAAAATTTGAGGTTCTAACATTACTAGGTGGGGTTTTATAAAAAAAAGTAAATAGACAGTATACTCCTATAGGAGTACAATATCAATTGGCAAAAAAAAGGACGGAGATATTGTTCTTTCATACCCTCTCTATCTCTCTATCGCTTTATTCTCTCTTTGTTGTTTCATACTCTCTATCACTTTATCTCTCTATGTTTCTCTCTCTACCTCTCTATCTCTCTTTATATTTCTCTCCCTATCTCTTTATGTTTCTCTCTCTAGCTCTCTCTATCTATCGTTATATTTCTCTCGCTATCTCTTTATGTTTCTCTCTATCTCTTTATCTCTCTTTATGTTTCTCTCTCTGTCTCTTTATCTCTCTTCTCTCTTTATGTCTCTCTCTTTGTGCCCACAGGACCACCGCCCATCTTTGGCTACGTCTAAAGAATTACAAATCACTAACTCTGTGTTGTCTCTCTCTATGCACCACACTTTACACCCGTATTTCTCACTCTAACCAGTTCTATATACATAAAAAGCGTGGTTGCATTTTGCCGGTTGTTGGTTGCCGGTAATTTTATAGTGCATCACTCAAGCTCATGGATCTGTCTTCCGTAATATTTGGATCTGTGTGATGCATGCAGAGCAAGATTTAGCCCTAGAAGGGCATCTTTAGGGGCTGTTTTAAGGTCTGTATGATTTTGGTTTCTAATTCTTTCTGGAAATTAGAAACACAGCATTGGTATGGTGTTTTCTTGCTTGTAGATTTCTCGAAGTGAAAAGTTTATATGATGCCCAGGCTTTAGAACAAGAGGCACCTCAAAATCTCGTATCTTCAGTGCCCAAAACGTTTCAAAACAATCACTTCAACCTTGATAGATGAAAAACTAGACTTCAAGCTCTAAAATTGTTCGATTTATAACACATGATCTTAACTAGTGTAGGAAAGCATCACTCGGCCCCTGAATCCGGCCTTGGGCTGGGCCAAGCCTGAGTAACTCGACACGAGCTGGGTAGGCCCTGGCCATGCCCAAAAGTGTTGGAAAAAAAAAAAACAATACACAAAAATCCCAATTAAAGTAAAAGTAAACAACATACATCTAAATAAGGTTTAAAAAAATAGTGAATATGATAAAATTAATTTGTGACTCGAAGTATTTTTAAAATAATCTAAAAAGAGAAAAAAATATAAAAATAAGTATTCATGGCCAAAAACTTCCCAATTTTTCCAAAATGATGGAAAATATTCAAAAATATTATAAATAAATTTCTTATTTTTTTATTTTTATTAAAAAAAATTTAAATTTTCTTTTAAGATCCCAAACTTGACCACCAAACTCGGGATACTCAGGCTCACCACCCTGGCAAGCCCAAGTTACTCCGGCGAGTTTGGATTTGCTCGCCTGAGTTGTCGAACACTAATCTCAACTGTTATTTCAAGTGTTTAAAGCTCCAGCAAATCTACAGTACTTTTAGATCTTCAAATTTCTTAATCATAAGTAAACATAAATCTTCAAGCTATTATAATGGTTTCCAATACTGAAAGTACCTCTTGTGAGCATCCTTAAATGAAGCTTTTTTATCATTTATGACATGTACGCATCTTTTTCAGACAAATGGTACTCTCTCTTTCCCTTATAACGCATTCAGTTTTTCTAAAAATGTACATAGAGGAGGTTAGTGGAGCAAATCTTTCTTTCTCTCTCTAAAATGCACTACAAAAATCAGAAAAGAGTAACCATTGGTGGTAGGTCCCGGATCAGTATTTTGGATCAAAGTGTCATACTCTAGTCTCAGTGGACTTGAACCTCAAGTTACATTTGTTACATGAAAATGAAGACATCCACTCACTTTAACCGTCCCTTTGTGCCCTAAAAGCCACAATGATGCATCCACTTTGCCTTCAATGGAGAACCAAATGACGAAACTTGTTGTTTCTCTTCACTTCATGCTTTTCCTCTCTGTAAAACACTAACCCCCATGACGATATGTCCAGTACTAAATGGTTAGTGCGGTTCCAATATTTCTTCAATTTTGGCTTTTCTAAAGGGTTGGGAATGGGCCGCAGTGGCCCTGTCAGCCCAACCCTAAAAACTAGGGTCTGTGCCAAGCTACGGTCGGAAAACCATGGCCTGAGGGTACGGCTGGATCGGGCATGGCCACGGTGGCTCAATTCGGTCCAAACCTGCCCTCTTTTTCCTTAGTTTTTTTTGTTTTTTATTTTATTTTATTTGGTCTGGCCCAGTCCATATAAGGCTAGGGCTGAGGCTGAGGCAGGGCCTTTTTGGCCTGGTCAAAGACGGACTAGACCTAGGCCGACCATTTGTGGACTAGGGCAGGGCCAGGGATGGGGGTGGGCCGGGCCCAAGCCCGTCCTGTTGCCACCCCACTAAAACCACCCTACTTATTAATAACAGTGTTGAGGGAGAATAATATGATTGACATGGGGAGAGAGAGAAAGGACCACCATCGACACTCTTCTCTAGAGAGAGAAAGAGAGGAGAGTGAGAGACTAAGAACCTGCAAATTCTGATAGGATGACAAGGAGTCAAGGAAACTATCTGATGACTTAGCCATGAGATGTTTTCTTGGTTAATGAGACATAATCTATGAAATCAGAAGCTGGTGTTCTGAAATTTGCAGCTTGTTTTGTGTCAGCGCAAGCATGTTGCTAAATGGTTAGCCTCTCTATCTTATGGCCGCAAGAAGGAAATACTTTCTCAATAAATCATGTGTGCTCATTATAGGTGAGTCTCCCACCTCCCTCTCTCTCTCTTTGTCTCTCATTTTTTATAGTATACATTTCATATTCTCTCCTCTCTCTCTCTCTCTTTCTCTCTAATTTTTCATAGTATACATTTCATATTCTCTCTTCTCTCTCTCTGTCTTCTCTCTCTAGTATACATTTCATATTTTCTCTGTACAAAGGTAAACTGCACATTTCCTTACTAGCTGAAAGAGATGCTTATCAGGCAGACTTTTATAAATTTTGTGGCCAACGCTGTTTAAGCTTGTATCAGTAATTTTGATCCAAACTGTTATTACCATTTTTTTGTATTTATCTCTTGAAAATATTTTTGATCTTTTAGACATATTTAGATTTATTTCAAAGCTTTTTGCTTCTATTGAATGAGAAACACACTTTCATCTTTTGGTGGTGCAAATTGGGAGATGAATTTTAGACAGCAGTTCTAAGGTCCTTGGCCTTAGAGACTGTAACCCCAAAGTGATTTTCTAGCTACTACTTTTTGGTGCATTTTATTCGATGTGGTACTTGCCCTTTGTCCTAATTATTCATAATTTCTTCTTCTTCTTTTTTTTTATTCTATCAAACTGCTGCCATCTGCAAACTTAAAAACCCATGTTAAAGAATTATCGAAGTGGAGCTCATGTTCCACTCAGGTGTTTGAAATTTGTCTATATTTCACTATTCTTGTGCTCCTACTTACTCCTTGCGAGTAATATACTGTCTATCTACTCCCTCAGACAAAAATCATATTAGTAATATTTTTTTTCTAGATCCCAAAACTTTGGGACATAATCTCTAGAAACCAGATGTCCAATTTTTAAAAAGATTGGAGGGGAAAAAAAAAATCTCACCCTACACTCTTAAAAAGATTGCACAAAAATTGTCCAAAGTTTTGGAGGGAAACATCCAGATGTTCAAGAAATCAAAATCCAATACATCTCTTTGAATATATTATCTAGTGATACTTATTCCCAACTGCAAAGGAAAAAAAAAAATTCACCCAACATTTCTAAAAAGAATGACATCCCAAGATTGCACAAGAACTGTTCAATTTTCGGAGGGAAAATATCCTGATGTTCAAAAAATCAAAATTCAATACATCTTTTTGAATATATTATCTAGTGATACTTACTTAGATCCTAAAATTTCGAATAAACAAGGTCTTCACAAATAGCTATTTTACCTGAGGGAGTTGTTGTACAGTAATGCTCCACCAGGAGCATGCTAGCTAAATTTTCTTCTCCGTTGTGAATTGGCAGACGAAAAAGAAATTTTGAGTCAAATACATTAATGGACCCAAATTTGTGAATGTCCTACAAAGTGTGGCATGGGTTTTTATTGATTAGTGGGATAAGCTAAAAAAATTTGAGCCACATGTGTCGAGCTATTCACCAATCATCACTACTGTGATTTATCCAAGGAAAAGTGTTTGGTGAGTCAGCCCACTCTGATGCGGATTTTGATCTAAAATTTTGGGATTTATTAATATTAACTATAATGATGATATGAATCTCAAATTTTTTTTTGAAAAATAAAATTGGGACTTTTTTATTTTCTTTTTTCCACCATCAATTTTCAAGCCTTGGTGGAGGCACCTTTTGTTGACATCAAATCTCTAATATGGATGTCTGATACATAAAAAATAACTACAAATTTTGGTGAGTCAAATGACGCACCAAAAATGTGTCCCTTATTGAGATGGATTTTTAAATTTGTAGATCGAAGCAATTTAAATGGATAAAGCTATAAAAATTTGGACCTAGTTTCTATGCGGCCAAGCCCACAGATGTAGAAATGTGAGCCTCTTAATAAATCTATTTTTGAGATGAATTTTAAGACTTAGGTTTTAAGGACATGTAATCTCTGACATGGAGACCATGAATATGAAGAAATAAATAAATTTTAAAACTAAAAATAATAATTCTAGTAAGAAAATATTCGGTCCGTTGGTTTCCATTGTTTTTAGATGGAACACTTATTTGCATCCATCTTTAAAATGGATGCTTTACACTTTCTAGATCGCATATATAGAAATGCGGTCCGCCAACGTGAAACAATTTTTCTAAAAGTTTTTGCCTCTCTTGTATGCTGCTCCTTGTGAAAGTGCTTCTCAAGTGCTCAGCATAATCTAAAGAGGTTGAGCGCTACTGTCTCACAATTTCATGTTAGAAGCTGAGAAAGCATTTTCGTTCAACTGCTACAGTAACTAGTCTTTTAAAAAAAAAAGAAAAATTCAAGTAAGTTTCTGTGGAGAGAAAAGGAGCTTGATCAGAAAATTTGTTCCTGCTAAATGATTGCACCAGCAGTCATCAGATCAAGAAAACAAACATGATCTTCTCCACTGAGTTGTTACAACTACCAAACTGATGTTGTAGAGTGTGGTGCTGCTCACTGAACTGTGGCTGATGAGTAGAACCCGTTAAAATTGCAGTGGTTGCCAGTGTAGAGCGGTTCGCGTACAAAGGTGTGGCCTCAAATCTGGTGACCTATCTCACTGATGTTGTTCACCAGAGCAATGGTGAGGCGGCGAAGAATGTGAGCACATGGGCCGGCCTCACCTCCATGCTTCCGCTCCTCGGCGCCTTCCTCACCGACTCTTATTTCAACCGCTACTCAACTATCATTCTCTCTTCCTTTTTCTACCTCTCGGTAATTAGCCGATTTATCATACTTGGTTTTGGCTTCCTCCTCCTTTTTGTTCCTTGAAGAGTTTTTGTGGTTCTCTGTTGTGATTTCTTTAATGCAAAACCGGGATAACTTAGACGAACCGGTCGTTTGGGAAATAGGCCAGAATCGGCTATTCACCTATCTGACGTATTTTCTGGTGTAAATATCAATCCTTAAAAAATTAAAAGAAATAAAAATGACATGATTTCAGTCCTTTTACTAAGGTGTGACCAGATTATGAAATTACCTCCTTGTTCCGGGTAACAAAGCCATGTCAAGATTTTATAATGCAAAAGAAATATTCCGAGTGTTGTACCAAAAAAAGCAATGTCCTTAGGTTATTCTACTTGAGCGACTTAAGGGAGCCAAATATCAAAATTGCTTCAATTGTTCAGGATTCCAAACCTAAAAGATAGGGCTTTTTAAGTATGTTCCAAAAGTACAAAATTTTATATTAAGAAGAAGTGTGATTTAAGTACGGATCTTAAATTTATAAAATATGAAATGTTCCTTTTATAGGTAAAAATTATAAAGAATGTTAGTTGACTCTTTTTTTTTTTTTCTAAAATTGCCTCTTGATATGAGGATGGATCCTCTGTCTAAATTTTAGATTTTTAGTTTTTTTAGTTTTTTCATTAGTAGGACAATGCCCTAGCTTTGGGGGACTTCCTTACTAATAAAAAATAAAAAATAATTAAAATTAAGTCCGAGGATGTCCTCGAACTAAAGGGTAATTTTGAAAAAAAAAAAGCTGATTGACTAACTTTCTTTGTATTTTTCATTTATAAATGAAGCATTTTGTATTTTAGGAAAAATTTTAGAGTCCACACATAAATCGCTCAAAAAAAATATATGTTTCATGTTTGGTTTTTAAAACATGTATGGATTTAAGTTATTTAGCTCAAGTGACTTAAGTGAACCAAATTAACAATATTTTCTAGATTATGGAGATTTACATATCTTTCTAAAACAATATTTTACAGTGAAAAATATTGTGTTTGGTACTGAGAACACGCATGAGTGTTTTGGTTATTAAGCTCCACCAACTTAAGTGCACCAAATTACCAAAATTTTCTCAATTTTTTAGGATTTAAAACACTGAACAAAGAAAATTTGAGTATTTTTTAGCAAAACTGTCGAGGTAGTACATAATTGAAAAGATTTCAAAAAAGTAACCATTTTTGTTGTAAAATTGATTGATTTGACCATCTCACTATTTTTTTGAGGTGGTTCCGATGATTTTACTAATATTTCCTTAAAATGCTATTTATGAAAAGAAAACAGGATATTTTTTGGGTAAACAGAAAAATGGAAAAATGACCACCCACTAAAAAAAGCATGTAGAGTATGCGACAGTAGCTATGCATTTTACAAAAAAATGCATGCATGATTAATCAGCGGGTCCCACACAGTGGAAGGTGGGACCCACATCTACATTTGCCACCGGTTTTTCCCTTGTCTCTTCCCCTTTTTTTGGTCGAACAAGAGAATTTGAACCAAAAACTCAAGAATTGGGCCACAAAGCTTCTTATCTTGGGGAGAGACAGACCCAATCTTCCTTTCTCAAAAGGGCAAGCCTTTCTTGTTGGTTTGTTGGTCAGAGAGAGAGAGACCCACTAGGTCTTTTTTTTATTATAAATGTCCTAACGTACTAACATTGGGTCCGCGGATACATTTTTTCACAAATATTAGAATGTGATATGCTGATCTCATAAATGTGATATGCATCTGCCAACCCCAAATGGTTGGTTTAAGGCTCATATAATGATAATTGATGATGAAACACAGATGTCCAACAATCTATGTTGCAATCTTCATAAATGTGATATGCAAAAATTGCAGGGTCTTGTAGCATTGGCTTCATTGGCAAGGTTTCCTCATGGCAAAGCTATCTCATCTGCACCTATATTTGGCTCTCTCTATTTGATTTCATTTGGGCTAGGAGGATACAACCCATCCTTGCAAGCCTTTGGAGCTGACCAGCTAGATGAGGAAGAGGATGGGTATGCAAGCAGTAAAAGCCTATTCTTTAAGTGGTCATATTTTGGTATTTGTAGTGGAAGCCTCTTGGGGGTGTCTATCTTGCCATATATTCAGGATACACTAGGTTGGGAATTAGGGTTTGCATTACCAGCCATTGCCATGGGAGTTTGTGTTGTGTGTTTCATTTGTGGGACACCATTATATAGGCACAAGCAATGTGAAGATGGCGGTAGAACATTTGGATCCTTGATTAGTGCTCTTAGATCAGTTACAAGGAAATTTATTGGGGGAAGAACGAATGTCGCTTCGGGCAATGTACGCGCCATTGAACTCGAGTAAGCTCTCTCTCTCTCTCTTCTCT